ATTTCATTGGCTGTGTTGGGTGGGTGGGAGAGAGAGAGAGAAAAAAAGAGATAGAGAGAGAAAAAGAGATAGGTTATGGAGACAATGAGAGGATTGGTCCTGTCCACTCTTAGCTCTAGTCCCATCCACTGTTGGCTTTGAATCCACTCTGAGGCATTGGGCCTCTGAAAGTGCGACAACATGCAGACAAAAAACAATGAATCAAAGCCATGATATCACAGCTGTGCTCCCTGCTTGCTAGAGACACAGAGTGGTGATGGGACAGAAAAATGCTAATGCAGTAATTTCACATCATAAGCTTTTTCTGCATCTGGTTTGAGCCTCAGTCACCTAACACAAGAACTTACCTTTTTCTTTAGAAATTGTGCTCAACTTTGTGAGGGTTGCATTCAGTATAGGTTACATGATCTAACATTGATGTCTGTAACATGATATTTATGTATTTTATACAACTAGGACATGGTACTCGTATCTCCTGCTAATTGTGTTCACATTTTACAATCACACTTGACTGTAATTGAAAGCTAATTGCAGCTATCACTTCATTACTGGAAGGTGTGAATGTGCTATCCCCATTAATTCTCATTGGGTGCCTCAGACCCTCACAATAGGAAAACGCAAGGTTGCTGTGAGGTAAGCGGATACTGTCACATCTTTCACATCTATGTTTTGTCGCTCTGCTGCAGACCTTAAGCCCTCTGGGCAGAGACAGCATTTTTTTCTCTATTCAACCATGCATCCAACTCATTTAAAATTAATATTCAGTAATACAAACTCCTGCTAGTTTAAGCCCAGAGTTAAACTTATCTCATGATAACTATGGCTCCACAAAACCAGATTGTTGGGAGGTAAGGGTCCTGCCTTAACCAATGTGCCCCATCAGCAAGTCATGATATTGTATGATGTCACAAATTGTGCTTGCTTGTAACTTAAGGCACATCTGCAAGATACAGAGCTATTTTCTCCTGGCTCTCTTGTGCAAGAGAAGGGAGGGAGAGCTTGGTGGTTTATTGAGAAACCACAAAGTGCATTTCCCCTGACTCTCTGTTAGTCTCAACCCTGCCCTCTGCTGACTGGAGGCATGAAAGGTTTCTTATACACAACAGTTTGAGCCAACTTCCTATGCTCTTAAGCGGTAGAACTGACTTGGTGAAATCTGGAACAGCAATGCGATGCATTCCCAGAAGATAAGAACCTAAGAAGATCCCAGCTAGATCAGACCAAAAGCCTACCTATCCCATAAATTTCCCCCCACAGTGGCCAACTGAATGTCAGTGTAAAGCCCACAAACAGAACATGGGGTCAAGAGCCTTTTTCTTCAAGGTGCTCTGCTTTAGCGGACACAGGTCTGTTCTAGGGATGCACTTGAAAATACCGCATATTCCTAAAAAAACCCCAACTAAAATAAATAAGAAGCACATAAAAACCATACATTAAAACATAAAACCAACAGGGTGCCCGTGTAACCACCGGGGGAACCTCCAAGAAGGCCTTGCATATGATGCAAGGCAGTACGTGATCTGATGTGGTCCTCGGACCATTTCAGATATTCCTGTCTGTTGCTTTTGTTAGCCAGCAGACTTATCTATGTCCCAGTGACAAACTCTTTCCCCAAATAAGATTGGCAAGCCAAATCTTTTTAAATTACCTGCCTTAGTACGACGCTAGCAAATCTGCCTAATTAAAGAAGAGCTGTCAATGGTCAAGATAATTCACAAGCATATATATATTTTAATTAAATAATTTTTTTGATGCTCCTCTTTCCACAATATAATCCTATAATGCTTCCCCCCCAGTCCCCCCCCCGCCAAATCTGTATGAAGAAAATAATGGGAGGAGGATACTAATCATCAGTTTGGTACAGCTGAAACTGGCACAGCTGGCAGATGAGTATTTTAATGTATTTCTAAATTAAGCAAGGCAGTTTAAAGGAAACATCATGCATAAATCCAATCTGCCAGTGGTTTAAAGTAAGGTCTTTATCTGTGCTGAGGTAGAAAGAATAGCTACCTTATGGTTTATCATACTGTGGTGGGTTATCTTTTCTAATGAAGCTTGTGTCCCCCAAAGCATTCTGGGGATAGTTTGTGCTCAGATTGGTCTATAATAATACAATGGTACAGATTTAATGAATTGAAGAGTGGCATTTCTTTCCAGCAATGCCCAATTGGAGCTTCCTTCCCAGAGAAATTAAAACTGTAAATGAAAGCAATTAATGCATATCACAAAGCAGAATACTCTATATTGATTTCCGTGGCCTATATTGTGGCTGCCTTTAATAAATCTCTGAGGCTAATAATAATAATAATAATAATAAAATTAACAGAGGTCTTGGGGAAATGAACTAATGAACCCTGTTTGTATTTGTATTAATATCCCATTTTTGCTTCAAGGATTTAAATAACATTACCTCCAATATAGTACAATCGAGCTGTTACTAATTTGCTTCTTGGGCACAAGAGAATAGACCTAATTTGCAAAATGTACTGATTTTTCTACTTTGCAAATGGAAAGTCTTTTGTCGCGTCCTGAAAATGTTCAGTTGCAATTGGCATTAAATGTCTATAGCAAGAAAGGGAAACCTGCAGCCCAAAGGCTCCATGTGGCCCTTGGCATAATTTCAGGCAGTGGCTTGGGGTCGAGGAAGGGGTGGCAGAGAGGGAGGGAGAGAGAGAGAGAGAGAGAGAGAGAGAGAGAGAGAGAGAGAGGTGGCAAAGAGTGACAGAAAGACAAGATGGGACACTTTAGGTGCTAGCAAAGAATGCCTTTAATCAGCAAGTAAGGATGTAGTATGCACTGACTTTTTCTTTAAGAGACTTGCCGGGTGTGGTTCCCTCCATAGCTCAGTGGGAACTAGCTGGAACCTTAGATGTAACTACCTACCAAGTTCTGTCTCTCCGTTGATCATTTGTTCAGAAATGAAAGCAGCTACTGAATTTTTCTTGGAACCTGCTTTTTCCTAGTATTTGGGCAGACCTGTTGCAAGGTTTCCTCACCTGTTGAGTCCTTTTCACAAACCACAGAATCAGGGCCTGCCTGCTCATGAGGAATGACATGACAATTTACTTCTGCCACCCTGATGCTGAACACATTTTCTTAGCAATAAGCAGTGTTTTCTTGTAGAACGAAATAAGAATGAAAAAAGGGGCTGTGATGGCCAGGTATCAGGAGCTTGCTGTTGCCCCAATAATATGTCACCCTTGGGTAGCCATTTGGACCCCTCTGGGGCAGTGTGGCCCTAAAGTCCATCTCTAGATACACCACAGTTTAGGAGGAAAGTTGAGTTGTGCGAAGCCTGCTCATTGTTCCTTTCTACATACACACACTATTGCTCCCCAGGCTAATAGCTGTGCCAGATACTTCCATCAAAGTCCACTTGTAGCTCTGTTGACTAGAGCAGCCACAAGGCAGGTCTTCCTAGCTTTCCTCTGGTTGTTAAGCTAATAGACTGCAGGTCCGGAAAGCCTGCTATTCAAGGCAGAGTGTTCCCTTGGGACTCTCAGTCTCTGGACTATGTCAAGTCATCCTTTTCTTACTCTGTGTTTTTGCAAGGGAAGCAGGAATCCCCCAGTGCTTTCTGTTGCTGGATTGCATTTCTTCCAAGTGTATAGGAGTGGAAGGTATGTGAGAGCAGAATACAAAAGAAATAATTTAAAGAGACCAAGACGATTTCATTAATGGTATGTGATTGGCGGGTGGGTAAGCGAAAATTGCAAAGAAATGGCAGTCATGGACTATAGGTGCCAACACCAGTATCTTTAAATAGAGCCACCCTTTTTACAGTCCAATTTACTGTTGATTTTCTCTGCCGCTCTAGACCTTGGTGCCCTTTATTATAAAATGCCAGAGGCGTATCTAGGGGTTGGCCTAGGTAATTCCTAATGTGGCTACTGTGCTAAAATGTTGAGGTTTTTTTTTGGGGGGGCGGTGCACCACTTACACACTTCCTTGCCAAGCGGGTGGTGGTGGGTTTTTTTTCTGTAAACGTTCCTTTTCAGCAACATTCACATGATTAACTGGCAATGAGAGCGGGAACTGGCATGCATGGAATTTTCAAGCATTTTCATGGCTCCCTCACATCGAATGGTTGTTTGAAGAGGCCTCAAGCCTTGCATATCTAGCTATGTTTGAAAGTGAACCAGGTTTTTACAGCATATTATCAAATCTTTTGCCAGTGAATGGAATGGATTGAGCTGTATGTTATTGCGCTTTAAGAGCTGTTCCCTTTTGACTTTATGTTCACAGAATGACTGTATGTTCTCTGCAGTAACATTTCCTGTACGAGTTCTGTAAAGGTCACATTCTCTTAGCTGCTAATGGTCATTGTGATGCCTCAAAAGCAAAGAAAAATGAACTCCACTGTTTTACTCTTTAAATCTCAGTGAGTGACATGGGGAGAAAAAGGCAGAAGAAAGTCTGTATATATGAGAGAACTCCTTTCGTAATTTCCCTCCCTCAAACTACAATAAGGTCTCACACTGGCATCTCTTTTTGCTTTTCCTGAAACACCCTAAGGCAAATCTATATTCTCTAAGGGATTTGAAGTTTCTAATCTTGCATTCATTCATTTGTGTTTGGCATATAACAATTTATTTCCTGGAAAATTCTAGAAAGAAGCCCTTTTATATTTATTAGCTATCCTCTTTTATTAGGAAGAGGGTTTTTTTTCTTGTCAGAATATACAAATGGGTTTTCCTAACTGTTGTAAATGGAATGTCATTATAAAATAATGTGGTTGCATCTGCACCATGACTTTTAAAAAACTGTAATGCCGCTTTGCATTCATTCCTCCCCCTAAAGAATGCAGTGGTACCTTGGGTTACATACGCTTCAGGTTACACACTCCACTAACCCAGAAATAGTGCTTCAGGTTAAGAACTTTGCTTCAGGATAAGAACAGAAATCGGGCTCCGGTGCCGCGGCAGCAGCAGGAGGCCCCATTAGCTAAAGTGGTGCTTCAGGTTAAGAACAGTTTCAGGTTAAGAACGGACCTCCAGAACGAATTAAGTACTTAACCTGAGGTACCACTGTACTGAGAACTGTAGCTTATTAAGGGTGCTGAGAGTTGTTAGGAAGTCTCTATTCTCCTCACAGAGCTACAATCAATCCCCCTTTCTGGGGAACTCTGGGAATTGTCACTGTGCAATTGGAACAGGAGTCTCCTAACAACTCTCAACTCCCTTAACAAACCACAGGTTCCAGGATTTGGGGGCGCGGGGAGGAGGGGAAGCCATGACTGTTAACAAGGTATCATAGTGTAGTGCAGGTGTGGCCACATCATGTGGGGAATAAGAGGTGATGTAAAAGTTTGTGGCACTTGCTTCCATAGGAGTCTTGTGATGGCCACCAACCTAGATGGCTTTAAAAGAGGATTAGCCAAATTCATGGAGGAGAGGGCTATCTAAGGCTGCAAGTCATGCTAGCTCTCTTCTGCTTCCACAGAGGCAGTAATGCTTCTGAATACCGGTTGCTGGAAACCACAGGAGGAGAGAGGGTTTTTGTGCCCAAATCCTGCTTGTGGGTTTCTCACAGGCATCTGGCTGGCCACTGTGAGAACAGGATGCCGTACTAGATGGGCCATTGGCCTCATCCAGCAGGTTCTTCTTATGTTCTTAAGATTGAAAAAAAGTAGCATTGTTGCCATTCTCTTAGAGCATTTTTGCACACATATAATAGTAAACATACTGTGTATACTGTGAACAGACGTGCATATTCCTGACTACTGCTTGAAGTGTACCCGTTAGTATTTCTTGACTCCGATGGTGCACATGAGATTGGTGTAAATCACATGTCTGTGTGGGAAGAGTGTGGGAATGGAAGACAGTCTTATCTCTTCCGCTGTATGTACTGTACTTTTGCTTTTACTTGTTCCTGTTTCTTCTCTCGGAGCTGGAGAGAGAGGACGCCATGATTCCTTTGTCTGTACACTGTACATAGTGTGTAAATAAATATGTAGATTAGCTCTACGATGTCTCACGCTTCTTGCTGTGTTATGCCAGAAGATTAGTGTGCATATATCATTTGGTATATGTTGCTGAAGCGCACTGGAGAAGAAGGGAAATGCCTTTTCCAGAGCTGCGCATACCAGAGACCGCTCGGAGTTCGGGAGCTGCAGGTGCCCCCCAGGGCGTTTTCCAACAGTACCCACTCCCAAATACAATGGAGCTGGCACTTTCACAACTTCTGCATAATGTTTGTTCTGCACTTGCAAAGAATCCATCATTCAATGTGGCAGGAACTACTCTTACAAACTCCATACCTCTAAATACAAGGCAAGTGCCTCTCTGTATTGTTTTTGGACACCTGCTAAAAACCATTTTGTTTAGGAAAGCCTACAACATGTAATTTTATTATTATTCTTAACTGCGGATTTTGTCTAGATCAACTTCATTTTAATTTTTGGGGTTATTGGTATTTTCTTACAAGTGTTTTGCACGATTTAATGCAAACCACTGATAAAAGTTTTGTTTTTTTATAAGCAGTGTATAAATCCTGCTGAATAAAGACAACTCCCACACCCCAACGTTCTGCTTCATCTATGCTTTGTTTCATCTATGCTTTGCTTAGCTCTGTCTTGACAAAGCTGGCCTAATTTAAGCTTTCCAGATACAGTAAACTGAAAGCACTAGTTCCAGTGGGTGATGTAATTTCCCCCTTTATAATGGGACCCATCAGACCCTCAGAACATGCTCTTACTTCAGAGTGCTCCTGGTGGATCCCTCACTTTCGAGAAAAATCAGGATCCAACTCATTACAAGGTTTCTCATGTTGTCTCTAAACAAGTGTTCAAGTTAATCCCAAACTCCACACAGTGATTTCTGCCCAGCCCTCCTCCGTTTGAACTCCTTTGTTTCCTTCAGCTTCTCCTCTGTTCCTTATCTGAACAATTATCTCCTCCCACCTTCCCTTATGCTTGCATTCCTTTTATCTGTCCTTAGATCCTCTGTCCTATCTCGCTTCCAGCCAAGAACAGCTGCCTTTTATGCTGCTATGGCACATGCCAGGCTGTTTCCTTTGACTCATCTTCACCCTCCGCATTCCCCTTACATTCTCCCCAGATTTACAACTGGGCATTGCTTGCCCTGCTTCCACACAGGGGATTTCCTCCTAATGCAAATAGCACTTTCAGAGGAGGGATTTTTTTCCTTTCAACTGCAGCAAAGAGAAGAAAAGGTTAAATCCCCCCTCCATCCCTGCAGTGATCCCAACAAATAGCTCCCTCCACAAGTTGATCCCTTAGTCCTTTCAGACCTATCTGCAACTCTGTGACTGAAATCATTAACCTCTCTTTACAGTCAGACCATCTCAGATCCATACACCAACTGCCCATCTCTTCCTTAATTCGACAAAACCTCCTGATTGTCACCTTCTGAGGTTTCTATGGCCTCCCCCAGTCTAATCTTACCATTTTCTTTTGTTATAACCCTGCTTGTGACCTTCACTCTTCCAACTCTACCAGCTTCAGCCTGCTCCATGCTCTCTTCACCTCTGTCCTTTCAAATTGCTCTTTAAAACTCACCCTTACCAGCCAGCCTTTCCCTTAACTCCACGGTCTTCATTTTGGACGGCCTTGATAGTTTGCTCCTTGACACACACACAGCCCTTAAAGTAGCTCTTGCTTCAATTAGGTTTGCAATGCGAATGTAAAATCCTGCCTTAGCCAGAATGCTTATTTGCACCACAAATGCTTCTCTTCTCTTGTTTTTCCTTCTGGAGCAGAGATAAGATGGGAACCTAAAAGGGACAATCCAGTCTCACATGTGAAAACAGCCTGAGTCATAGTCATCCCTTGTTACTTTATTCTCTTCCTTCCATTCTCACCCTTTATTGTTTCTTTGTTTCTTGTGGAAATACAGAATCTAAGCACCTCTGGGGGAGGGACAGTTTTCTTTAAAAATACCAGACATGATGCTGATGATATATGATGTACTGACACTGTATGAAGTGCCTGGAGGATTAACGCTCTCTCTGAATCAGGGTGTATGGATCTCCTCTGAAATGCTTGTGGAATATATTGGTAGATAAACCACAGCTAATGTCATATGGGGTGTAGAACCTTTCTTTCGTAGCCTTCCCCCCTCATGGACAACCTTCTGAAGGCCACATACCAGAGACAGGTAGGTCCACAGGTGAAAGTGGGCAGAACCTGAAGGAGAAGCATGGAGGTGTGGGCTGTCAATGGCTACTAGCCATGACAGCTACACTCTGCCTCTGCAGTTGGTGGCAGTAGTGCTTCTGAATACCTGTAGCTGGAAGCGACAGGAGGCGAGAGTGCTCATGCAATCATGTCCTGCTCCCCAGTTTCCTGAGTGACCCTTGTGAGAACAGAAACAGGTACGTTGGCCTGATTCAGCACGCTATTCTTATGTTCTTAAGTACAGACAGGGCCAGCACCAGAATCACTGCTGACATCTCCACTGCAGAAGGCCCAGGAAGACATGAGGCTCTCCCACTCTGTTGCAGAGATTACTGCAGAAGGGTGGGTCCCTTTAAATAAATCAGCCTCTTGCAGCACAGGTGCTGTTGGCAATTAGGCTGCATCTGCATTTGCATCTGCTGCTATATATGGGCTCAGTTTCAGCTTGTTCCTTCGTGGAACAGCAACAGAGCTTGCCTTACAATTAGTTGGGGACTTGCTTTATTGTGCTGCTGTCGAGCAAGACACTCCCCCCCCCAGCATGTGCTGCCTGAGGCAGTTGCCTCACTTTGCCTAATGATAGGGTTGGCCCTGCTCAATATCCTTTCCCTCTCTCCATTCTTTCTCCACAGCCACCATTAGATTGTGAGGTCCTGGGGCTTGGGAGCCTGAAAGAACAGTAGCTTCATGTAATAAATGATGCATCCCATTTTTCAGAGAATGGCCCATTAATCAGTTTTGATCATTCCATCCTGGGTAGTCAGAGTTCCTAAAAGAGAGAGTCCCCTGAGGCCATTTCACCTGACCATGAAAGAATTTTGTGCAACTGAGAATTAACAACTCCCCACTTTTAAAGGAAAGTCAACTTTTTCTATTTTTACATATTGATGATTCCATTTACTTTTAAATTTTTAGCATGAAGGTCAAGTTTTTTTTAAAAAAACCCATCCCAAAATCTTTAGGTGCAAAAAAGAAAGGAAAATGGAACATTATGTTAGAAAGGACATTAATTGTGTTCATTCTTCCTATTATTATTATTTCCCTGGAAGTGCCCCCTTTGTGGGGGGCGGGGGAGTCAACTGTATTATATTGCAGAAGACAATTATTATCTCAAGGAGGCTTAGGTGACACATACAACAATGCTTCTTACGTGCTGAGAGATCCCGTGGGACCTAAGGTCTTTCAGTATTTAATTCTGTTTTCTCTGTATCTATTCCATAAAGTTATAGTTTCACATGCCTAGTTATGCTGAAACAGCACAGTGTGGGAATTGCAACCTTCTAGATAAATTTCTGCAAAGGTCCCAAGGTGATTTCTGCTTTAGGGAGTTTCCACTAGTCCTAGAGCTATCTCTGTTGGCTGCTTGCCCTACATTAATTTGTCCTTCACTTTGGTGGAGATGCCTAAATACCGGTAACCACAATACAAGATGTGACATAAACACAAGGTGTGACTTATCATGTAACCCCTGCATAAGAACACTTTTGCTAGTGGAACTTTGACCCAGGCTATCCAGAAAGTTCCGTGTACCAGCCAAACTCTACCTTCAGGAGTCACACCTGTTGCTGAGTGGGATTCTCAGCAACCAAAAAGAGACAGGGCATAAGCTATTTTCAATGCTTTGCTGTTTCCTTTGGGCTGTTTAATTAAATCTTTAGCCTTCAGCCCATTTCATTATGCTCTGAATCCAAAAAGAGCCTCTGCCCCTTGGCAGAACATCAACACCCAAACTTTTACGGTCAAGCAGTGCTGTTGTTTTTAAGCTGTTTCTGTCTCAATTCAGCATTAAATCTGCAAGCATACAGTCTGAACACAGGTATGCTAGCCAACAAAATATATTTTTTAGTATTTGCCACTTCCTTAGACTTGCAGAAAGGAGCACAATGTGATGGGAATTTGTAGTTTTATGATTTGCTTCTTGCAGTGACTTTAAACCAATTTTGATCACATAGTTCTCTGTTCATATGACCGGTAAGAAAGAAGTGATTATCATAGAGGCAGATGAATGAGTAAGCAATGAGAGTTGCTCCCCTCAGTTTCCCGCAGTCATTAAATTATTTTCTTTACATTTTTGCAGCAAATGGCACTTTACCTAGGGGTTTTCTGTGCAAAGAATTGTATCCCTTCTATTGCATTTTACATTTTGTATGCTTAATATCCATGCACCTTGGTCCACTGAGGACACCTGACTGACAACCTCAGAATGTATACACCTTCAGGGAGAGCGCAATTTTATGGATTTTATGGATCTGAGAACCACCTGCCCACACTGCTTCCATCTTGTCAAGATCCATCTTCAATTTATTGGCCCTCATCCAGCCATTTTCTATTCCTGCCTTTGGAAAAGCCACCCCCCTGCTCACAGTTAGGTCCATTTGCAGAGACAGAGTAAGCACACAATTTTGCGGTTGCTTTGGGAAACTTAGATGTCTAGTAATGAGACAACACAGAAAGAAGCCAGTATTAAGATCAGAGGTCTACTCCAGGGTGGTGCTGGTAATACATCTGAGGTTCTTACCTGGGTCCCTCCTCTGCGGGAGGCTCTGAGGGTGATGACAAGGGAGAGGGCTTTTTAAACTGCAGCTCCATGTCTATGGAATGCTCTCCCTGGTAAGGTCTACATGGTGCCTTCACTAACATCTTTTTGGTGCCAGTAAACATGAGCCTTTCCCCCTAGACCTTTGATGGGGGTTTTGAAGGCTTAAAGAAATGCAAAACCAAACTCACAAACAAATTCTCAAAAATCAAAAACAAAACTTTGGGCAAAGAAGGCGAGTGGCTTCATGATTGCCATAGAAGCCAGCCAGCCAGCACTTTCCACAGCTAAGATGGCAAGGGTGGAAGGAATTGGCTTTGCAAATGCCACAAAAGCACTGCATGTTTGGTTCTGGCTAAGTTTACTTTTTAGGTTTATTTTACTATCCAAAATGGAGTGATGTGGATTCCTGGTGAGCTCACTTCTCCAGGTTTGTAAATCTGTCTATAGCCTTTGTCTTAAGTGCTCAGTGGATGGGGAAGATTGAAGAGCAGTCAGCCAAGGAAGATGAACATAACTCTGTGCTCACAGCCCACGTATGCTGCAAATCAGTCAAATTAGGTCATTTGTACACAGTCAGGATTCACATTCTCATAATGCATTGTAGGCAGATATTAAATGCCCAAAGGTTTTGTATGCAATAAGCAGAAAACAACCGAAATGCATCTTGTTCTTCTGTCAGTTGTCTGCCATTAATAAAAAGTCATTGCAATGAGCTAGAGAAATACTTACTAGGCAAATTTTCCCCACAGAACAGCTTAAAAAGTTAAACAAACCCTATAACAATATAGGTCCAAAGCTGGATATTTATGAAATTGTCAAAGGGCTCAAAGCAAAATTTTCTAGTGTGCCTTACTATGAAGATTGCAATTTTAACAGCTCACAAAGGCAATGAAATTAAAGACACCTCCCAGATGAGCACAAGTTTCCAGCATGGCTTACTATGAGAATTGCAGTTTTAGCAGCTCACAATGGAAATACAATTAATAAAGACACCTCCCAGCTGTTGCAGAATTTCTTATGGATGAATTATCTCATCTCAGTGATTTAAGATATGTTTTGAAATGCGAGCTGTTCGCTCTTTACCCTTGTGCTATATATTTCCAAGTTTAGCTGCTGTGACTATATAAATGTTATGGAGATTGTAATCACCCCAGAGAAATGCCCAGAGGCCAAGCATTTTATAAAAAACAACAACTCCATGGATCTTAAAGGGTGTACAAAGCTTGCTTTTATTCCCTTCAAAGTACTGATTATGAGATGCAACAATATATTTAATCTGGTTGCACATTGTGGACTTGAACCAGAGAGTCATACTTGCTGCTGTGCTTTGGGATCCCTCCTTTCAGCAACTGAACATGATCCCCTCCGTGAGATCCTCCAGTGCCTGTGGCACAATACTGATAAAGAGGAGGCGTTATTCTAAAAATGAGCTCAACAAAATAAATACTACGTCACCCAAAACTCCAGATTCCTAAGTTTGATTTATTGTATAAATAGCTGCTTCTAAGTTGTGGTGGAAGGAGATTGGGTATATTATCCTCTTCCTCCACAACTCTGTAAAAGTAGCTTTTTATGCCTAATTCAAGCCATCTTCCAGACTGGTTATCAATATGGAACCTGATATGTTTAAACTTTGTCCACAGGTAGTAATGATGTATGGGAGAGAATTCAAAACATCAGACTGTTTTATCTTGAACAGGTCCAAATGTCAGAATAATTTCATTTCAGAGCATGTACACACTGTATCTATCAACAAAAAAAATTCCAAAACTTGAAATCAAGCTGAAGTTCTCAACCTTAGACAATACTTTCCAGAATTTAAAAAGCTGCACTTGTACCCCCGAAATAGGATAATAAAATATGGAAATGGAAACCTTTCACATGAATGCAGTGAACTAAGGCAGTGTACAGAATTTGTTGGAATGAATTTAGGCTAGAAGCAGGATTCTACTCACTGCCCCTGCCCCTGCCCCTAAAAGTATATTTGGCAAAACCCTTATGCCACTTCAACAGTCATGAATAATCCTGGGAACTGTAATTTATGAAGGATACTGGGATTGGAGATCTGTGAGATCTGCCAGCATCCTTAAGAAACTACAGTTCCCAGGATTCTTTGGGGGAAAGCATGACTGTTAAAATGGAAAAAGAATGCTTTAAATGTTCTTCTTCTTTGGCGATCACTCTTAGCTGAGTAAGATTGTCTTCCACTCTTTTAAAAGTGCATCTGTAAGTGACTGTGGAGGCCAATTCTGGATCCACATGTCCTTCCACAGTGGGGTCATAGGTTTCCAGGCAGGAGTTGATCATGGTCAGGGCCTGATTTAGGTTTGATGAGGCCCTAAGCTACTGAAGGTAATGGGGCCCTTTATATGTCCAGCAGTTCTTTGTCAACAACAAATTGTTGCTGTTTTTTGTGTTGAATATATGCTTTATGGTAATTTATGGACCTAATAGGTATCTAAAGCCATTTGCACATGTTGCCTTGCAACCAGTCCATGCAGAATGTAGGCACCCTATATATAGAAATGAGCAAACCAATGATATTTTAGGGAGCAGGCTAGCAGGTGGGGCCCATTACTTACGGTATACCATAGGAGCCTACACAACACAAAACACTGTTGCTGTATGTAGGTGTAATGGGTTTAAGGGTTGCTCGTGCGTAAGTTGCTGCCACTCCTGGCTAGGTTACCTGGTTAACCCTTTCTGACTGAACAGCCTCCAGCATCGTGACTGTCTCAGTCGCTGGCAGAATCCGTCAGTGGGCGTTTCTTAAACCTTTTCCAGCATAAAAGTTGTTTGACGCCAAGTCTCCTCCTACTCTCCCTGCGCGGAAGTCTTCTGCGCAGGGAGGGTGTGGGCAGCGGAGTACCAGTACTCTCTCCGCTGGTCTCCAGCGAAGAGTCTTGGAGCCTCCTCCCCGATTCCCCCACCTGCCCCCCCTTCTCCACTGGTGTTACGCTGATTTCCTTCCCCAGCAGATGGGCTGCCTCTCTCCCTACTGGGACCCTCTCCTGCATCCCTTTGGAGCCTTCCCTCCGCCTCTAGCTCCGATGGCAGTTCCCTGACATCCACCTCCCCCCCAGGACCCCCTCCGCCCCCGGCCCGACCTTCAGATCCAACCTCGTCCCTTTCCTCGGCCGCCGATGCGGGGAAGCCCCTGAAGGAGCTGTCGCTCTCCTCTGAGGATTCAAAACCCGCTTCCCACCCGCTCCGATATCTTGCCGCGGGGTGGGCCTCCCAGTCTGATTCTTCTCCCTCTGACATTTCCCCTCCTTCCTCTTCGGAGGCAGGAAAACCCACAAATTCCTCCTCGTCGTCTGTGGTTCCAAATTCTTCCTCCCAGAATCTCGCTAGTGGTTTTGGTTTGTCTGGGAACAGGCTGTGGAATTCTTCCACTAGATACCCATCATTGACCGCCTCAGCGGGGACCCAAGTGTTTTCTGACTCGGGTTCTCCTTCCCAAGCCACTAAGTACTCCACCTGGCGCCCTCGCCACCTAGAATCGAGTATTTCCGTGGCTTGGTGGTGGAGTTCCCTCTCCTCTACCCGCGGGTGGGCGGTGACTCCTCCCTCCCGCCCCGGGAATTCCCGCCCCTCCCTGTACGGTGAGAGTAGGGACCTATGGAACACCGGATGTATCTTCATGCTGTCAGGCAACTTGAGCTTGAATGCCACAGGGTTCACCTGCTGTGTTACCTCAAAGGGTCCCAGCCGCCTTGGCTGCAACTTCTTGCACCCTCCCTTTAGGGGCAACCCTTGGGTTGACAACCACACTCGGTCTCCCACCCGTATGGCATCCCCCTCCCGATGGTGCTTGTCTGCCTGCCGCCTCTTATAAACTTCCTTGGCCCGCTCCAAGTTCATCTTGAGTTGCTGGTGCAATGCCTCCATTTCTTCCACAAACTGCTCGGCCGCAGGTACACTCCGCCCTTCCTCCCCCCTCCCCGGGAAGGCCCTGGGGTGACACCCATAATTGGCCATGAACGGGCTCATGCCCGTGGACACATGTTCAGCGTTATTGTACGCAAATTCAGCCAGCGCTAGTTTCTCTACCCAATCGTTCTGTCTCTCGCTGACGTAGCAGCGTAGGTATTGCTGGAGTATACCGTTCACTCTTTCTGCTTGCCCGTTGGTTTCCGGGTGTTGTGCCGTCGAGAAGCCCACCTCTACCTGCAGCAAGCTCATGAGCTTCCTCCAGAATCGTGAAGTAAATTGTTTTCCGCGATCTGAGACGACCCTCGAGGGAGCCCCATGCAACCTGAAGATGTGATCCACAAACAACTTGGCTGCCTCCTCTGCCGTCACGGCATGTGAGCAAGCTATGAAATGGCACATTTTCATCAGTAGATCGACTACTACCATGACTGCTGTCTTTCCCCTGGACTTGGGCAAATCTGTCATAAAATCAATGGACACCACCTCCCAGGGTCTTCCCGGCGTGGGTAAGGGTTCCAGTAGCCCTGCGGGGCAGCCCTCTCCCCCTTTGCCCTTTGGCAGCGGTCGCACCCCCGTACATATTCCCGTACATCCTCCCTCACCCTTGGCCACCAGAACTGCCTGGTGACGAGCAGCATGGTTTTGTGCTGTCCAAAGTGCCCAGCTGTGGGGTTGTCGTGGAGTTGTTTGAGTACCTTCCCCTTCAGGGTCTCCCCCGGTACATACAGTGCCCCCTTATAGTACAGCACCCCTTCTTTTTCCTCAAAACCCCCATGGTTTTCTCTTCCGTCTTGGAGTTCCCTGATTTTACCTTGGGCGAACATGTCGTTTCTAGTAAGCCCGGCCAGTTCTCGTTTCCCAACCAAGGCTCCCCCACACACCCATCGGTCCTCGGGGATCACGTGTCGTATCTCCGGCGGTCCCTCCCCTTCCATGTACTCTGGCTTCCGGGAGAGAGCATCTGCTCTTACGTTTTCCTCTCCCGGCACATATCGGATCTCGAAGGAAAACTTGGAGAACTCCTGTGCCCATCTAATCTGTCTCTGGTTGAGTACTCGCACGGTCCTCCAGTATTCCAAGTTCTTGTGATCAGTACAAACCTGGATCTTGTGCTGCGCCCCTATTAACAGATGTCTCCATCGGCGAACACCGCATAGATCGCAAGCAGTTCGCGGTCATACACCGTATAGTTTTGCTCCGACTTGCTCAGCTTCCTCGAGAAAAAGGCACACGGCTTCCATTCCTGCTTGCTCCTCCCTGGCTGCAAAAGTACCGCCCCAATGGCTCTGTCGGACGCGTCGGTCTCTAGCCTCATGGGTTTCTCCAGATCAACGTGTAGGAGCTGCTCTTCCGAAGCGAACGCCTTCTTCAGTCTTTCAAAGGATTGCTGGGCACTTTCTGTCCAGGCGAACTTCCTTTTGCTACTGAGACAATCTGTGATGGGCGCCGTTAAGTGGGCGAAGTTCTTGATGAACTTCCTGTAGAAGTTGCTGAACCCTAGGAACCTCTGCACATCCTTCCGGGTTTGGGGGCTTTCCATTCCAGCACTGCCTGCACCTTGCTTGGGTCCATAGCCAGTCCCTTGTCTGACAACTTGTACCCCAGAAACTCGACCTCTCTGGTGTGAAATTGGCATTTTTCCAGCTTGACCCACAACTGGTGCTTCTGCAGCCTCTCTAGCACTTCCCTGACGTCTCTGACATGTTGCTTCTCATTGTCTGAATAGATTAAGACGTCGTCCAAGAAGGCTACGCAGTTCTTGTACAGCAGGGGACCCAACACGTGGTGCATGAATGCTTGAAAGCAGGCGGAGCCCGATTGTAATCCAAATGGCATGACCAAGTACTCAAAAGCCCCCAGGGGGGTGAACATGGTGGTCTTCCATTCGTCCCCCTCCCTTACCCTGATCAAATTGTACGCTTCCCTGAGATCCAGCTTGGTGAAAATTTTCCCCTGCCTCACCCGTGTTAAAATGTCGTCAATCCTGGGCATTGGGAAGGTCACGGGTTCAGATACCAAGTTTAGGGCCCGGTAGTCCACGACCAGCCTGGGCTGGTTAGTCCCTCTTTTGTCCACAAAGAACACCGGACTGCCCCCCAACGCCTTTGATTGTCTTATGAACCCCCTCTTCAGGTTCTTGTCAATAAACTGCCATAACTCCTGCATCTCCCTGTCCGACATGGCATACAGCTTACCCACCGGCAGCTGAGCCCCTGGGATTAAGTTGATTTGGCAGTCAATGGGCCTATGGGGGAGTAGTCTGTCCGCCTCCTTCTCGCTGAAGACTTCCTTTAGGTCAGCGTACGGTGGTGGCACCTCTCCCTTTGTTTCCACCGCCAGCCCAGCCACCCTAGCCACTGTCATTCTGGGGGTTTCCTCCCCCAGACAGTGTTCCAAACAGTAAGCTGACCTAAAGGTGACTGACCGCTGATGCCATGACACTACTGGATCATGCAGTGCCAGCCAGCTCATTCCCAGTATTATTGGGGGTCCTGCCAGTTTGGCCACGTGAAAGGCAATGGTCTCCGTGTGCCTGGAAACCCTCATTCGCATTGGCGGGGTCTGGTGTGTCACTTCCCCTCCCAGAAGTTCCCTGCCATCGATGGTGGTCACTTGCAAGGGAAAATCCAGGGGTAGCAAGTGTATTTGGTGCTCCAAAGCGAAGTCCCTGCTAAAGAAATTGCAGGAGCTGCCCGAATCCAGCAGCCCCTCAACCTTGACTGGGTGCCCATTCGGGAGTTCTAGCACCACTGCTATGGCTATCCCTGCCCTGGGGGGGTCAGGCTGGGGCACCTCTATTGGTTGCTGGCCTGGC